TATTTGACAATCAAACACTATTTGAATCAACGCGGATAAAGACGTGCAATTTGTCATAGATATGATATTACATATTATATAGGGTGAGCCACGTCGAATGTACGACGAGATACACCTAAAATTAAAGGAATCATTAGGAATTCAGTATTTTACGACGGAGACGAGTGGTTTTCAAGTTTCTGCAGTTTCCAGAAAAGTTTCAAAACTGCGTCTGTTTAGAACAGGAAACACGAGATAATGTTCGAGTACTCACGGCTGGTCAACACGTGGTCGAAAAATGTCAGCGTCGCGAGTTCTTTGAATTCTGGCTATAATGAGCAAAAGTTCTTTGGCAGTAAAAACGGAAGCCGACAGACCAACCGGGAGCCGAAATTTTCGAAATTTTCACGATGACGCAGCAACGCTTACTACAGTTGACCACAAAATTACAATTGATCTATCCAACTATCTCGCAAACTCAACATTCCAGATTTCTGCACACAATAAGTATAGTTCATCGACTAACGACGAATTATAATATAAAACAGAGGAAACACACAGCGATGTCGTAAACGTTGACGAAGATTGATTAGGAACTCGACGATGAGTTCTACGTGTCACTCAGTTACCCCAGGAATCCAACAAAAGGGAGAGAAATCACCCCATCGTCAGATTTATTTAATACAGCGCTGAGTGAAGGTGGCGTGTGGGGTGGCATAACGGTGCTAGTGTTGGGAGGTGGGGGCTCGGGATGGCTGCAACCTGTTGAGTCAGACAATATCGCGTTTTTACTAATGCCACATCGTCGTCCCGGCTCGAGGATCCGACGGGGGGTGGCTACATTTTTGCCGTTCCACACCCGCAACCCTCGAACGAGATCGTTATTATCGAGTCCGAGATTATTAACCCTCGTGATACGTGTGAATTCTTTCTGCTGAGGGAATGCGGAACGGATCGATTCGTCGAAATAGATACTCGTCGAGTTTCTATATGATGAATACCAGGTTTGCTAACTTTCTTTATTTATTCATTTTTTTTTTTTTTTTTTTTTTTTTCATTGATTGATTCAATCGACGAGAATCGCTGAAAGGATGTAATGTACAAAAAATATAATAATCAATAATACTGTAATATAATAACAATGTAATCGGTGGGCGTGATTAACTCAATAATCAATAATCACGAAATGATTATTTCTTTAGTCATGATTGACAGAAATTTAGCATTAGGTAAATTAATCGTCCATTAAACGATTAATGATTACAGAATGTCAAATGTAATCCTGGTTATCAATTTATATATCAATTGATCATATATTGATCAATTGATTATAATCACAAAACAATCAATTATTACCCTATTCCGTATAGAACGGATATCACGATATACCATAGAAATTGCAGTAAATTTTAATTGAATTTCGCGTATAATAAATAATAAAGATTCGTCCGACACGCAAGCGAATTTCACCGGCGGATTCCTCGGCAGATCCACGTCAGCGATGTCTTCGCTGAACGAGGTTGAACCGCCCTCAAACAATACTTTTTTTCTTGTCTCCTCCGCGCGCGCAAATACGGCATCAGCGTCGTTACGAAAGCGGCGTGCCATGTGTAATCCACAAGACTTGACGAGAGCGAAAATCCCAATCAGCTGCTCGCCAGATCCTCGAGCAAACAAGGGATACCTTTGACAATGGGATTGTGTGTCGGCCGTGCGTGTGCACGTTGTACATCATAATGCGACACACGTGTATTTCTGCTCGTATGGTACACAGGCGCGCGCGTTTGCCCGTTTCCTCGAATTTCTCGTCTCTCTTGTAGGCTTCGCCTCGGTCAATAATTCTTTCATGAAATTGCCTTTTATAGAATCGATGCGAAAGCCCGCGAGTTCGTTGTTTGAAACACGCAGAACAGAAGCGATAGCAGCAACTGTCGGCGCAAAATCAACGCGGGATAGAAAAGGGAAGGAGGGAGGAGAACTCGGGACGAAAGAATTCTTGATTCCTGATTATTCCGTACACATTGCATCGTTGTTTCACGTTTTTCGGAAAGAAATTGTTGGCTTCGAAAGTGCAAATATTATTACTGCTAAAACATTCGAAACACTCTGCATACAGTGAAACAACATACGTATACCTCCGACGACATTTTTCAAATTTACAATCGAGATTTTTAAATCCTTCTCGCTTGGTAATTACTTTCGTAATAATTTTGAAAATTAAAATTTATTTCCGCTTGTTCTTATACAATCCTGGGAATAACGATCTTCTCTACGACTCGTTTGCAGCCTGCAAAAATACCTGCGAGATCCGTGAAATTTCGACCCGACGCCTTTCGTCTACGCAGAAATTCCAGTTCGATTCTTCTGCGTAATTGATATATATCCATTCTAAAAAAAATATTTCTCCGGATGGCAGAAACCTTTCTTCCCGAAATCAGTGGAACCTTCCTTTCCCGAGAAGAAGAGTCGATTTCGAGGGGATCCTGTGGGAACCGTTTCCTGTAACCCTT